CATAGCTTATTCTGACACTAGGCGATATATTTGGACACCCAGTGAGAATCCAGTCTGTTACAATTCTACTAATGTTAACCCTTACTTCATTTCCTGATATGCCGGCCTTCGTGACTTTTTGTTTGATATGCGCCTTGGTATTTTGGATGGCAGTGAGGATCGAACCCACGATAGATTAAAGGGGCGGTGTCTGTTCTGTAGGACGAAGAGAAAAACACTGGATGAATTTATATTGTTATATTTAGCGAGTCTGTTTCTCATTCAAATCCCAGATATCAACTTTGTTTATGGCACAAGAAACATAAATTTTAATCTATTATATCCTTTAAGTGTAACTTAGTTTAGCATACAAAATAGAGTTTTTTTTCTAATCTATAATTCATCAAAAGCAAGACTCGAGAGCCGTTCAAGGTAGTGTATTATTGTTAAAATGATAATATTAAATGAGGTGCGTGATATGAATGGCAAATAAAGTGATAGGAAATTAAGATTATAAGGATAAGAAGGATAGATAAAAATTGCCCCATGACTTTAAAGAAATTAAATGTCTACTGATCTGAGAAGTACCCATAGGACATTCTGTTCCACAAAGTAGGAGTCCTTTTTCATCACAGTGAAAAATGCTGCTTACATTATAAAAACTGAGGAACTGAGAATGATTCGACTCTATGGAGACAGCTTCAATTCTACACGCTGTAAAGGTGTGAACTGGTGTAAGTAAAGAAATGAGCTCATCTAAATCTTCACCATGGAAATAGCGATAGACTCGCGAGTATCATGCGACTTTGTGTCTGTGGAAAGCAGATTGCCGATTGGAGAATGCCATCCCCACGTCCCGCACAAGACGACGTAAACGAATTTGAACTCCATCAAGACTGGAAATTGATAGGAGTGTTCAAATGCACCACATCAGCAAACGCTTAGCGGGATTTTCTTATTACACATTGTTCAAAAACAGGTCTCCTAATCTATTTTAAATAAACATTTTTTCCTCCGTCTCTCTTTTCTTCTTTCAGTCGAATAATATCTCCCAATCCATTTCAGACTATTTAAATGCCTATCCAACCTTAAATATAAATTCGCTTTGTCTATATGAATAATTTAGTAATCATCTGGTTAGTTTTTCCACTTGAATATTCGCGTTAAGACATCTGTTGCGTATATGGAAACGCTAAATGGCAATATGAAACAAATTCATGAGAGATTTTATCACAACAGTTGTTTTGTCATGATATTGTAGAATTTATACAATGCTGGTGAATGGTGTTCAAATCGAGCTAAAGGCAACGATTTCTTATATCCAATGTTTCTAAACCTTTTTTAACCAACTAGGACCAAATGAAAACATTACAACACAATTAGGAAAAAAAATTAAAGGGTACAAATTTAAACGTTCTGAAATAAAACCATATATTTTTAAAAAATACACAAATATGAACTTACTTTATTTCAATGTTGCTATTCTACTGTCGGAGGAGTATATTTAGCGTGAAAAGTGCCTCGTATCTTTTCGTGATTTCTTCAATGTTTGGTGGAATTTGCGATAAGCAGACCCTCATTTCCTCTTCAGTTGAGAAGGCTAATTCACATAAATGAGAAGTCGAAAATTGCAATGACTTATCCAGAATATCTCTGTGTAACCCACCCCCTATAACTGTTGAATGATATGCATATAACCCCTTCCTTATTTTCTGCTATCTAACCTAGATCCTTATAAGGTGTGTTTCTTGACGGTATCCCTATAATAGTGATTAAGAAGTTAGCTCTCGAATTGTTTTTTTTCGTCTTTAAACTTTATAATAAATGCCTCGCTGCCTCCTGTTTTCTTTTCTGCTGAGCCGTCTGATTCTTCCACTTATCGGCTTATTAACATTCTGCCTCTTTTTGGCAAATTCCTTGAGGTCCTAAACAATTGGGAATTGGTTCATCATATCTTATCCCAGACAAGGAATATGGATTTCGTTTCTCCAGGCCAACTGCAAATGTACTAAGTATAATTGTGGAAAGAGTCTATTATAATCTAGATAAAAACGGTGAAGCCCGGATTGTAGCATTGTACATCTTGAAAACCTTTGACAGCGTCTGATATTTAAGTATTCTCCACAAGCTGATGGAGGTTAGCATCAGCCTTAAGGCGCAACGCCTCACCTTCGTTGAGGTTAGCATCAGCCATCCTGATGGAAGATGATTAATAGAGAGAAGTTTAGTTTCGGGGACGTTAAAATAAACAAGTCATATTTTAACCCATTTAACGATGGACATGAAGTTCTTTTTGGTCATCGGCTGCTAGTAAGGCTTTATGAGTTTTATTTTATTTTTAATTGTTATTATCCCAAACATTGCAGCAATTCTCACAAAAACATTATTATTGTTTCTGTTCCTAATTATTCAACATCCTGCAAACCCTTGTGTTTTAGTGGGAATTACTGCCTTGTTTGGGATAATAACGATTAAAAAATAAAATAAAACTGATAAAGCATTTTTAGCTAATGTGGGATATTCCTTTTGTATTGAAATCCAAAAATATATTAATGGGTACCGTCGAATGTTTTATTTTGAGCCCTCAATCACTAGAAATGGTGTTTAATTCTTCTTCTTTTTCATATAAATGAAGTCAAATATTAGAAGGAACATTTATGAACTTATTTTGAAAAAAAAAAAAACACCTATTCATTTACCCAAACACTAAACCTGTGCCATTCCTATTTTTAAACACACACAAAAATGCCGGCTGTAACAGCAAAAATGTCCAAATCGTGTAACAGCATAGGATAATTGTTGATACTACAACATATTTAATATCTAAAAAGCCCTAAACTAATTGAGTTTCTTTTATGCAGGTTTTCAGATGAGATATTTAGCCATCTTGACCTCATTTGCGGTAAGAATTATTGAAAAACCCTTTCGGTTATTCAACTAGAAAGAGAACGTATTAGAATTATTTTATGTCAGCTCCACTACCACATCCCATCTGAGCAACGCTGAGTCGAAAACGATCATTCAGGTATTCAATAATGGTAACAACATTTATACTCTGGATTTCATCATCAAAATCCATTCAAGAACCATCAAAAGAACGCTGAATAAGTTTAAAAAAAGAGGGAATAATACAAAGGAAAACTTGATCAGTAGACCACAACAGCAAGAAGGATCATCATTTCAACTTAGAGGTAAGTACATTCTTAGAGTCCAGTAGTGTTATAAAAACCTCGGAGAATTCCAGTAACGTATCTTTAATCATTTCTAAGATACAATGGTTAAAACTGGATAATTTTGCTACTACACAATTTGCAAAATTTTGCTGTTTCATCCGGTATATTTATCGTATGACAATATTTCGCTGCGCGCTCATCTCTCGCACTTCCCGGCTGTGGAACTCCCTTCCTCTTGCTTGCTTCCCTGGCGGTTATAGTCTTCAAATAATCTGATGCCTTGATCTAATTCCACATCCTTCTCTTTATCCTTTCCTCAGTCACGTCTCTTTACTCTTGCTCCTGGTCTTTATAACCCCTTGCTTGCTAGTGGCACTCCCGGCTTGCTTGGGGTGAAAGGCTTAAAAAGAAAAACGAAAAAGAAATGAAGTATACCGCGGCACGGCGATTGAGAATCACTGCTCATATCACTATGTCCCAGAGAAATATGCCATACTTGAAAAGTCTTTGTAATAAAATACGCTCTATTTTATCCATCGTAAACTCCAGCAGCGTAACACTTTTTGCTTTCTGGTCTCTTCTTGACATGAAGTGGGGCGACTATATCGAATCATTTGCAGCAATAGAAAAATCTTCGTCTACTGTAAGTAAAGTGGATTCATTGACTCCTAACAGAAAATGCTTCTTGGTAGAAACTATGGTGCACATTTATAACACCAGCATTCAACTACTGTAGCCATATTTGGAAAGTCGTATGTGCTGTACATTTTTATGGCAACTACTCTGATAAGCTTTATTCACTGGTGCCCAGACTACGTGAATTCAAGAGTGCCACTTGATTGGCAACTTTGTCTCATCGTTTTAATGTTGGACTAGCTAGATGCAACCGCCACATTTTCTTTTCTTCCCTTGACTTCTCGCCTTTGGATCTGGCTTCCTATTTCTTGCTTCCCTGGTAACTACAATCTTCAAATTAGGATCAGAAAGAGACAGTTGAAATTTCTAAGATATATAATGAGGAAAAACAGTCTGGAGAATATCTATTTCAGTCAATTCATCTATCTATCTATCTATCTATCTCTCTATCTATCTATCTATCTATCTAGATTAATCAGTTAATTTATCTAACAAACTATCTACTTCACTCACTCTCTCTCTCTAAAACACTCTCTCTCTCTCTCTCACACACACACACACATATATATATATATATATTTCAGTCAGTCTCTTTTTCAGTCATTCGATTTAAGTTAATTAGTCAATTTATCTAACAAACTATTTACCTACCTCATTCTTTCTCTCTCCCTCTCTCTACACACATACACACATACATATATGTACATATATTTCCGTCAGTTAAATCTATCTATCTATCTATCTATCTATCTATCTATCTATCTATCTATCTTTTTCAGTCATTTAATCTATCTATCTATCTATCTATCTATCTATCTATCTATCTATCTATCTATCTATCTTTTTCAGTCATTTAATCTATCTATCTATCTATCTATCTATCTATCTATCTATCTATCTATCTATCTATCTTTTTCAGTCATTTAATCTATCTATCTATCTAATTTAATTAATTTATCTAACTGTTTACCTACCGAACTCTCTCTCTCTCTCTCTCTCTCTCTCTCTACACGCAGGCACACACGCACACACATATATATTTTTTCTCTCAGTTAAATTATCTATCTGTCTTTTTCGGTCATTTAATCTATCTATCTATCTATCTATCTATCTATCTATCTATCTATCTATCTATCTATCTATGTCCGTTCTTTTCAGTCGATTTCAGACTAGTTAATCAAACATTATTTATTCATTTCACTTCCGAGAGAT